TTTCCGTAAACCCATTCCCAAGTGGGGTTCTTTGGGGGAAAAAACCCTGGTTTTTCCCCCCCCCCCCCCGAATCTTTGATGATTCTCAGCTTTGAAAGGGATTGAAAATTGCAAAATTATTTCCAGTCGTGGTTGAAAGGACTGCCTGTTTGTCCTGGTGTATGTGCTTGCACCTGGTATACATGCCTTTCATGTAGGATGGGTGGTGGCAACTTTTAATTAGTTTGCAACATCTGCCTAAGGGGGGGATATGCAACACAGTCCTTGACTGACTTCAGAAATCTGTAGAGAGCGGGTAGAGAAGAGACCCATTAAGTCACTGGTGAATTTGGCCCATCCTTCATTCTTACCTGCCATGTCATCTTCAGTGCTGTATTCTGCCCAGTAAAGATGACAACGGTCCAATATACTATTCCCTATTGACCACAGTTCAGCTGGTCTCCCCATTGGGAAATTCAGCCATGTTTTTCTTTGCCTGCTTTTATTCCATCTTAAATAATTCCTTCCTACTCTTGGTTTCTATTCCTGTTGCTAACTTTGAGACAGATGCCATGCTACAGTCCTTCGTCATTGTCTGGAAAAGTTATGCATCTGTAGGTTTCCGATCCGTCTTAGGTTAGAGGCGTGATCCTGTGAGTTGTTGTCAAGTACCGTTCGCTCCCACTGGTTTCAATGGCAGTTGAGGATGACTGGCACTTTGTAGAGTCTGGCCCTCAGCTAGGTTTCCCAAAAGAAATGAAGGGAGGAGGAAGAGGGTGAAATTTTCAGCGTTCCTCACTATTGTTTATTTGTACTGTGAAGGGATATGATTTGCCTTTGTTTTATTTAAATGCACTGAGAACCACAAAGTTATTTATCAGGTGCCACCTCCTGAATGAAGATAAATGCCATATCCCAAAGACATCATCTATTATACAAATAGATTCTTAGGCATATCTTTTCCTTTCCCTTGACTATTCTAAAGTGTAAAAATGCCACTGGCTGAATACATGGCCATCTGCTGAATAGTACTTAACAGAAGCATCTTATGGCCTTTAGATCAGTCGAAATCTCAAGACATCTTGGAAGACGATTGATGGGGAGTAAAGAGGTACAAAAATAGCCTTGACATCACAAGGCGTTTCTTCTCCATATAAACATCCTTCTTTGCTCCAATCAGGCAGCTCATCAGTGAGGACGTGGCGGCAGAGTGATGGATTTAGAGTCAGACAGCCTAGGCTTGCTTGAGCTCACCTGTCTGCAGTGGGGACAATATGACATGCAGCGATGCATTTTAACGTTGCAATATCAGTACCTTTGGGTGCTGCTGCACCATAAATGTTAAAAACCTCTTTTCAGAAAGGCCTAGCCAGAGGACTGAATGAAGCCTAGCGTCTCTCCTTTGACCCAATGTCTGTCTCCAAGGAGTCTGTGCATTTTGAACGGGAATCTTAGAAGCCCCTAAGCCAGTGATTCTCAACTTTTTTAGACTCGGAGAACTCCTTGGGAAATGCTAGCTCTTACCTTCGCTCATTTTTTGACTAGGGAAAAGCAATGGAGCATTTTTTCTATAGCCAAGAGCTCAGGAAGACCCCAACAGGGCAGGATGTTTCTGACTGTCCCTTCCAGGCAGTCCAGTCCTTACATGGACACTATGGATGCCTATTTGAAATGGGTTTATCTTGTGACTCATGTTTGCCCAGTTGGCCAAACCTGCCACAGGCTGTAACTGGCAGCCCTACCCTCGGTGGTGATGAACCAGCCGGATGCTGTTGCGGCGTCCTGACTGCCTGCTGGAGAGAGCAGCCTCCCCAGTTAAGTCCACCTGTAGCAGCAGGCTGCAGGCCAGCCAACACGTACACCTGCAGGTCTCCCGTGCTAAACCTCCCTGAAGCCTGTGCTTTCAGTTCTCTGACTGCTGACCCTGCTCGGCTCTGACTCTGGGCTCCGGTTGTTTGGATTTCCCCCTCGGTCTCTTGACCCCAGAACCCCGACTTGAGCCTATGACTTGGACTTTGCTCCTTAAATTACCCCTTGGTTCTGGTACCTTGGGCTCTAGCTCTGGTCTCTGGCTCTCCCGTGGTGGCCTACCCAGTAGGCTAGGCTATGTCCTAGTCTTTACACCAATGCTATGGATATCTGTTTGAAATAAGCTTATCTTTTGAATCATGTTTGCACATCTACCAGTGCTAATATTGCATGGCACTCTGCAGCACCCTTGAAAGGATCTCAAAGCACCCCAGGCTGCTATGGCACCGTGGTTGAAAATCCCTGATTTAGACCGACTGAGGACCCACAAGTTAGATTGGCACCTCCCACCTCCCCTAAAGTGACTGAATATGGCCCACATCCCATTCCCTGTCCCGTGCTGTGTTGCTGATCCCCTCTCCAGCCCTCTGTTCTCTCCCCTTTCCCTCTGCTACAGCAGGCCCTGCTTATTCTCTCCCTGCCTCCCTCCTTCCTTCCTCCACTCTAGCAAGGCCTGTTTACCAGAGGTAAGTTCTCTACCTTTCTCCCTGCTCCCTCGCCACTGCCTCTGACATGGGCAGCCACCTCTCCTTTCTTCCCCCCTGCAGGGAGTGATGGCCCATAATGCAGTCAGGTAGCAAGCGCCCAACCCTGCCACTTTAAAGGGTTGAGCTCCACTGTGCTGAACCATGCAATTCTTACCTCAAATGTCTGCGCTTCCTTTTTTTTTCCTCCCTAAAAATAATGCCTGGTAAATCAGTGCATACCTACTTCAGAAAAAAAAGTACCAATGCTAAAGAAAGAAATATTTGGCTAGCAAGACACAGAAGGGCTTTTCTCTGCAGCTTAACTCCAGCATAGAACCACAGCAAACAGAAATGAAAAGCACTTTTTGAATGATCTCCCTCTTCAGCGGCATAGGATTATTCTTCCAATTTACCAGCGGTCTGGTTTGCAGTGAAATGGAACAACAGGTCTTGCATCCATTCCCAGGGTGGGGGGCAGTCCACAGCCTCCGAGTCCCTTAGACATCGCTGCTAGTTGCAGTAAGGAGGCATTTGTTGATCAGCATTTAATGTACACATGGCATCTCTGTTGATGCGACATAGTAGGTTTAGTAGCTCAATCCACTTCTTTTGGTGAAGTCTGAGTGTGTAATCAATACAGGTCGCCCATGGCTTTTGAGTGTGTGGCTTATGATACTGAAACCCAGCACTAGACCATTGGATATGGAAGGAAGGTATAGTAGGAAATGATCCCTTGTTAAGTCATCCAGCCTCTTTGATCAGGTGGCTGCCAGGCTACCCCCACTCCTCTTGTCTTGCCACTAAATCAAAATGCCTTTTAAATCCAAAAGAAGTGCTGATATGAATTCATCTCACTATGCCCCTGGCTTCACAGGTCCCTGGATTTGGGGGAAGGTGCATCAGTTCTGGCCATTGATGTGTCTACATAAGAAAATCAAGCATGCAGCACTTCTGCTGCCCAACCCTATTTTCCTAGTATACAACAGAGAAGCAAAGGCTGGGTGTCAGCTTTGCTGTTTTTTATTGCCCCCCCCCGCCTTCTGTTATGCACATGCTGCTGCTGTGTTGCAGCTCGCTCGCTGTGCAAAGCCTCTCCCATTCTCGGGCCACATCTGCAAAAA